GAACTAGGCCAGGTCTCTTATTTGCTCTGCAAGTCTGCCATTTGACGATGGGCCAGGCCTGAAGATAGCAGTTTTGCATGTCCTCATGAGGCTGTTTCAGTGATTATTAGAAGTAAGTCATAGTGAAATTGTCTTTTTCTGAAAGCAGTGACTGAAAGCAAACAAGCCCATGACTTGGCTATTCAGAGGGGCATAAGCACTCCAGATGGATTTTCTCATTGTCCCAGAAATGGCAAAAGACAGACCATTCTAGGAATCCTGGCTTCTTTATATCACTTAAATATACACGATGGCGGATCCCCCGATGACCTAATTCTTCTTCCACGTCTTGTCCTCGTAATAGAGGTAAGAGAAAGCGATTAACAGGCAAGCTTGTTTGGAGTACATAACAGTGAAGTATAATTTGGTCACAAGTGGGCTAGGTGTACTCTCAGAGGAATGCCTTTATTTGATCAGACAGGTCAGAATCTTCCAGGGAAAATATTAATTTGGGGAAAATAGATCAGAACCTACTTGTTATCAAATGGGACATTGGCTTGAGTGTTGAGGAATACCCATTTTTATTGTTATCAGTGGTTTGTCATCCTCCCCCCCCCGAAACTACCCTACTGACACTCCCTATTGCCACTACTACCACCAAGTCAAAGAGCAATCTTGTTCCTCTATCATGGTTCTTCCTACTTAGAAGTTGAATTTCATACTAGGAAATAGCCATCCAACTGGGTGTAAAAGGTCTCATAATGTGTGGAGAGAAACCAAATACAGAAAAGTTACTTCCAATTAACACCTCTAATCTCCAGATGCCCTAATAAAAACAGTGAGGCAGCAAATGGCCACCCTCAAGCTGGAGAACCATACTTCGACTCAGTGTTTTTAAGAGCCAGGGAAAGTAGCTAACCTCTTCTTAATTTGATCTCCTGGCCTGGGACATATAAATGTTTAACTACACTCTGGCTTAGGAAGGAAAGCAGAGGTGAACGTATCCTGTAGTGGCATGGCTTCAACAGAGCATTTGTCTCACCCTGAAATATAAAGGAGCAATGCCTGCCTCCTCAAGCTGAGCAGTGCCCAGAATTTATGAACTTCAAGTAAGATGTGAATCTGGGGCCCGAGCCAGGCATTATCATTGGGAAATGGTGGACAATTTCCCTCTCCCTCCCTTCTCGTTTTCCTACTGCTGATTGTACTATTCAGAAGTGAATCACGACTTAATCCCCTCTGCTGTTAAGAATATTACAAAATGCTGGTTACAATGAAGTCACAAAAGTATTTACATAAAAGAAAAAAAGACAGACAGAGAATGTTATATCAAGTGACCAAGCTCATCATTACCACCAGCAAAAAGATAGGTATGGAAAAATCCTTGCCTGGGTACCAAATGGGATGCAGCTGATTAATTTAGACCATCTCTATATATAGTCAACACGGCACATGTTTTTACAATCATGCAGTGTTGAAAGCAGTGCATCATGGGAGAAAAGACAGTTCCAGTCACATGCATCTGGGTTTTTAAATCTTAGCGTCTTCAGATCAGGGCCAGGTTACCCCAGAGTGCTCAATAATCCATGAGAAATGAATCCTATCTTCATTCCAGGGCTTAGTATAGGCATTACACCAGTTAGATGCAAGCAACTCTTTGATTGATGGCTCCAATATGGATTAAGGTCAAAAGTGGCCCTGGAGAGCAAATTCCCTAGTGAGGAATTGCCACATAACTTCATGTGTCTTTTGCTTCTGAATTCTTTCTTCTCCTAGAAACCACCAACCACAAGCTTTTCATGCTGGTATTATTCTACATAACGTTTATTCTTCTTACAGCAAAGAGCTGGAGAAATACAAGTGAGAATCTGTTATTACAGGTTAAAATGTGTTACACCCAACTTGTGCTGAGGGTCCAGTTTCTTTTTATTATCCTCCAATTTTGTTGAATGACTATTGCCTAAAATAAATGAGCAATCGACAGGGGCTTAGAAATAACAGGGATGCTTAAGTGACTTTTATGGGTAGCAGTATTTGTTGTAACATAATTTGATCTGTATTCTAGTTATTAGTTTTATTCATCACATTGGAAACTTGGCACTTCCATTGTTCATGCCATTATATGCAAAGCACTGTAGCATGAAAGTCACTTAGAAAGCTGTGAAAAAAACTCTCTAAACACCAGAGGCTCATGAAACAATAAGTTAGCTAGGGGGATATACATTGTTTGATGTAGCTAAATACTCTGGATGGTCAAGAGTTTATTCCAATTCCTAAAAGTTTTTTGTTTTTTTTTAACCATTGGGATGTAAATATTTCTAAAATGTTCGATATACACATTTTTGCCTTCTAAGCATAGTTTTTTTTTAATGTATGGTGCACAGGGTCATCATTTTAAATAGAATATTGTCCTGTGATACAGTGAGACTCTTAAAGATTGAGATGTCTATAGACTGTTTTTGGCACTAAATAACCCATATATCAGGGCTTTTTCAGTTTTGCAGTCTACTCAAAATTTCCATCTTCTCTATTGCAGTCCTCCTTTTTCCTTCTTGTTTCCTCCAAAAGTCTGTTTCTCTCCTTTACATTTAGAAATATGTGTGAAGGAAAAGCAAATAGGTTCTGAGGAGGTGCTTGATGGCTAGATGTATGGCCTTTGTCTTATGCGTTTGCTTCATGGATTTATTTCAGTTGGTTGGAAGCCTTGTTTGCTTACTTCTTAATTCTCAGTCATTTTTGATGGGTTGAGCAGAGGTTCTAGATTTTTATAGCTCTGTCTCAGTTACTCATTGTCAAACCACTAGTTTAGATTTTGTGTTCAGGAAATAGGGACAGGTGAAGCTATCAGGTGGCTAAGCCCTAGGTAAATGAGTTGCTATGAATCCTAAAATGTTGTGAAGGTTGTGGGCCATTTTTATAAGGCAAATGGTATGCTGTGGCCATGACAGCTGAACTCAGTAAGTGAACTTTAAAACAGATAAGCTCCTTTTGCTATTGTCCCTTTCCAAGAATATGAAGTTGGCCTGATGTCAAGCTGTTGGAGAGCCTTCAACGTGTTTAATTAAATAACAGACTCAGTGTCAGAGCTGGCTGACTTTCAGGATTCTAAGGCTATAGCAAAAGAAAACATGGTTTTGCCTCTCTTGTTGATTTCCTTATTTATGGCCTTGGAATAAAGAAGGTGAAGCAAGTCTAATAGTCCTCTCTTCCAAAAGTACAGTTTCAGGCCAGAAGAAGATTTGACTGCTACCCTTAGATTTCTTTCCCTCACTGTACATTGCATTTTACAGACTATACAAAGCAAGACCTTCTTTGCAAAAGGCAAACTCCTTTGCCCCGAAGCCATACGGTACATGCGTGGGGGTAGTTGTAGGGGGATAAGTGTTGTTATTCACCAATACAAGGTGGAATCAGTGCATCTAGGAGCGAAGAGATTAAGGAAAGACGCTGTGAAGTCTGCTAGACCTAGGTTTAAGTTCTGGCTTCCCACTTATTAGGGTGTAACCGTGGTCACAGTACTTAATTCTCTAAATTTGATTCCTGAGCAATAGAGTGGGGAATAACAGTATTGGTGCTGTTACTATTATGATAATGTGAAAGACAACAGGAGAGTGCCTGGCCCAGAGAAAGAGCTAAGTGACAGCTCTTATTATTAACAAAAATGAATGATTTAAACCTGGAGATTACAATATTTAACAAGCACAGACACTTACTGCAGCCTGTTATTGACTTCAAGCAGTCTTTTGCTTTGGTTCTATTTCTGTGATATCTTATTAGACTTTCTGTTGGGTGTCTCTTTAACTCTTGTGCCTTGTGAAGGCCAGGAGATATTCCAGACAAGCTGAAATTCTACCTTTTTATGAGAATAAAGGAAATGGGGCCATGTTGGACCAAACAAAGAGTAATAAAATAAAATAAGAGTTGTAGCTTTCAGAGGGAAAGATAAACAAAGAAAGGGCTGGGGCAGTGGATGTGGTGTTGAGATACTGGCACCAGGAAGCAGGGAAGAAAACCTCCAAACACATTGTGGTTTGTTAAAACACTGAAGACTCCTAAGTGCTACAGTGGCAGGCAATGCCACCCCACCAGGCAGCAGTGTTCTCCGCAACTGGGGAAGAGGAAGTAGGGCTAATGATTGCTCCCGGAGACAGAGAGTCTGCTGTCCTGGGCTTTACCAGCCTGGCTTGTTGGGTGACCTTGAGTGACTTATCTCCCTAGCTTGGACAATTTTCTCAAGGTTCTCACATAGTCCCTAGCTAACTAAAAGGGTCTGATGAAGACAAATGCGTTAAAAGAAAATTTAGAGGAGAGTCCACAAACTGTCCCTCCAGATACACCTGCTGGTGGGTTTTAGGATTTTTAAATGTTAAATGTTAATGCATTTAGGCAGGGCTTGGTATTTTCTAATTCACACAATATCTACCATCTTGAGTCTTCACATTTGGCTCCTGAAGGCCTCTGAGTATATGACTTCTGATTTCAGTGCAACCTCTGGTCCTTCAAACCAGATTGGAATTGCTTCATTTACAACTCATTCTATTTCTTCATCAATTATATGCAAATATGGTATTTCTAAAGTTTCACAAAACAAAGATTTTGTTGGCCTAACTGTAATTTGCTCTAAAAGACATTTTTTTTTCTAGAAAAGACGGCAAAAATTACAATTTGACCTTCCTTCTAGTTCATCCAAATTCTAAAACTTTAATGTTACTTGAAAACATAATTTGGCACCAAGTATTCTTTAGGTTATAATCTAAGTTGCTCATAAAATTTAATCTAGGCCTGGATCATTTTACTTTGAGGAGAAAACATATCACTAAATAATAATGATCTTAAGTCTGTTCTTTTGCCACTTCCCAGAGATCTCTCCTAAGGCACTCAGGGAAAGTCAGGAGTAAATTAGACTTCCACATCTAGTGACCAAAACACCATCATCTCCAGCATTACCACAGTGAAGTATGCAGATCGTCATAAATATTTACACCTTGCAGGGTCCTTTGTGCACAACTCTGAGAGACAAATGGCATTTCCAGTAATAGTTTATTGATTTCCAAATGCACAGGGGCGCCAAGTCCGAACATCCTGGGATAGCAGTAAATCTCTCTTACAAAATAATTTACAGTATGAAAATGATATACTGAAACATTAACTCAAACGTGTAATTCTGTTGAAAGATTCAGTGTTCCCTTGTTTAATGTAAAGGGTGGAAGGGGAAGATTCCTAAGGAAGGAATGTGACTGTGCACAGGAAAATAGGCAGAGGACAATGGATTCATTGGTTCTCCCCATTCATGCAGTGTGGCCTGTCACTGTAGAAAGACCGGTCAGGTTTAATCCTCATTGAGTATTAATCTGCTGTCCCCTCAAAGTCATATCAAGCCTAGTATGGGCTCCGTGGCTTTTTCTGCACCAATGTATCCATAAGTGTCTTCACTTATTTTCATTTTTCTGCTCTGGACCTTGTTCTGCTGTTTCTGGTATGTTCTCAGTTCCAAATGATACTATCTTATCTTACCAGGCAGGCCTCCAGATTCAAGAACTGCCTGAGTCTTATGGTTTCTGGAATGGGACAGGGTAGGGGGTTTCATAAGCCCTGTTGGATAAAGGCAATAATAATGAGATTGAAGTCTCCCCTATGGGCCTTCTTTTTCTCCTAGGGCTGGGCTGGACTCAGTCCATAATGAGATTTTTTTAAACATAAAAATCTGATGTGATCAGCACACAGTAAACATGCAGTTAATTTTCTTATTGAGAAGCATGTATGGAACAGCCAATACATATAATGAATGTGGAATTTCAAGAATGGCAAGGGAGCATTTTCTACTTGGGGAGAGAGGACTTCCTAGACCCTGCCACTACTACAAGGTCATGAATTCTGCATTTGTGCCCTCAGGTCTAACTGGAGTAGTTAGACTCTCAGGTCACCAAAATGGCTGGGCATCCAAGTTTCCCATGTTATTAGACATCTTGGAGGAGGGCTGGAGTGCAATTTCCTTCAGGGCTGTCACTTTGACTCAGTGCCTTAGGAGCTAACAACTTTTGCTAGGGAATTGCTCTTCTTGTAAGCAAGTAAGCAAGTACCTAAGCCCCAACTATATGGTGACACTTGTAATTAGGGCTGACAGAAATCTTTGAAGTAGTATGCAAGATAATGAAGGGGCTGCTTTGAGTTTTCCTTTGTTCTCAAATATTGTGTGTGTGTGTGGACATGTACGTATATACATATACACACATATCACACTTGTCATTTATATATAGGTACACACTAACCCAACACACGCAAACCAGGAATCAGTAGGAGAGTCCAGATTCACTGGACTTTGAATTGCCACATCCTCACAGAGCACACTGGCCGCTAAGTTTACTAAAATATGAAGATTTCCTTTTCTACAGCAGTGAAGCTGCAGAGAGTTGCAAATAAAGTTGAGTAGAAAGCAGAACACCCTTCACTTTTACTACTGCTGCAAAGTTCTATACCTTTGAAGGCCAAGAAACACTTTATTTATGGAAGACGGCATGAAAAGGGAAATGTTCTCCCAACTCCTGGGGGTGGGCTCAAGTCAGCAATGTGTACTTAAAGCATCGGCTAAAGGGGAGAAATAAGGCTACCTCAATGCCATTTCTGAGCCCTAACTATAACTGTCATTTTGAAAAAGATTCATAAATTGGGATGGTCAGCGCACAGTGGGAAAACCTGAAGCCTTTTTATCCTTCTGTTTTTAGGTGGACCACAGTGTGTGGTACAAAGTGCTTGTCCACAGAATTAGGGGGAGCTGGGTTCAAGATTTGGCTTGAGTATTTCCTAGCTGTGTAACTTGAAGCAAATGACTTCCATTCCCCATCTGTTTTATTATCTAAGAGACAGTTCAGGGCCTGGCTCATAGTTGTGCCTTAATACAAGTTATTTCCCTTCTTGGGCTGTCAGAGCGGAGACTCCAAGCACTTCTTGGGACTGTCCTGGATTTAATGATATCAAATCAAAGTCCCTCTCGGCATCCAGAAATTCAACATTTGAAAGGTAGCCAGAAATTGCTATGAGTATCTGACTGATTCTGGAAACATTCATTACCTGCCTCCCTTGGTGACTTCTCTTTAGGGGTTTCAGCAAACCCTGCAACCTGCAGCCAGGCAAGACACAATTCTGAGCTTTCTAAGTTTTACTGACGTGGCAGGAGGGAAGCCTCATCATGCTGGGGCTTAAGGCCAAGCAGCATGCTCCAGCTCTATGGGAAGGTGGTGCCACTGCAGGAAGCATCCTAGTTTCTTACATTGATAAATGCTGCCGGCAGGAACTTAGGAGCCTGGGCAAAAGCTGCTGCACTGTGTTTAATGCTTCCCTGGTTAAAGTTTTATCAGGTGCTGAAGACAGCAGGAGTCTGTAAAGCAACTCTGAAACCCTTTCTAAGTAACAGCAAAAGTGCTTTCCTTGAGGATCAGAGATAAGTTACTGAGACAGATTGGCACACATTTTTATATTTCTATTTATATCCACTGCATAAATACTTGAATTTCCCAAATACTGATTCAAAGTAATAACATATGATCAGATATGGAGAACCAATGATCTGTCCATTGCTAATATAAGGCTACTATTTGGAGATCAAACAATGATTATTGGGGAAAGACAATACAAGCTTCCAAATCCTAAAATCTTTTTAATCTTCTGATACTTAAACTTTTTCAAGAGTGGCCACTGGTCCTTCTTTTAGGGTAGTTTTGTTGGATATGATTGGAGGTTGTAATTAATGGTATGCCAAATTCTCCAGTCTTTGCAGAGACAGCTAAAGCACCAAAATTGTCTTAGCCATTTCTTGGCCACCAGTTTGACAGAAAAATGCTTTTTTTTTTTTAACATCTCAAACTCCTCTCAGCCCCAATATCCTGGCATCTTTAGTGAGTTAGGACAATCCTAACCTAGAAGCATATATGCCTGGGAGCTTCCTGGCCTCAAAGGAATAAATCATTTCACAGCATTCACAGGACTGAAAAATAATATAAATAGGACTCTTATAGTAAACAAGTATTGTTTCTGTTTCAAAACCATCCTGCAAGCACAATAATCAGCTGGCCCTATAATAGGTACACAGGTCATAGGCAGGCAGGAAAAGGGATTTCCCCCGGTGCAGGCTCCTTTAGTTCTGCCTCAGAGGCACTAGAAGTCTAGCCCCTGGGTTAGCAGCAACCCAGAGTCTGCTTGGATATGGTTCCAGTTGTATTCTTCATAAGTGAACACCAAAATACCATAAAGGCAGAGGAGAGTGAACATATAACCCACTTGCAAATAATTACCTTTCAAGATTCCTATTTTTTATCTTAACAGTCTATGTGTATGAACATTTTATTCTATAATATAACTTTTATATAAAAATAGGTCATCTCCTGACTCCAAACCATTTGGTAAGTAAAACTGATGCTTCAAGAAGATGCAGGTTTTTAAGTTTGCAGTTTTACATTCCCCTAGCACATCCCTGCTTACTCGGGAGTACAAAGCTTGGTTGTAAGAAATTGTGATTTGGAAGTAGAGAAAAGCAAGTCCAACCTCAGGCATGTCTCTGTCACTAAGAGGAGAGCGAGATCCAGGGTGTGGGAGATGATCTGAAGGTCTGTGGGTGGGGAGTGCCACAGGAAGAAGGGTTCTGGTCTGAGGTAAAGGAGGTTATATCTATATGCTGGGAGATGAGCTGAATTCAGAACACATGGAGTGGCATCAATTCTCCCCATATTGCATTTAAGACAAATTAAGCTAAAATGGGGGTAGGACTAGCAAAAACCTACAATGAAAATTCCCGTTTGGTAATATACATTCCAGCCCTTCATGTTGTGACAAGCCCATAAAACCTGCAGAATTCACCCAAATAATTGTGGTTCTATTAGATCCTTTACTGACTATTTTGGAAATTCAAGCAATTTGAATTCAGAATTACTGATTTCAACTTTTAATCAGATTTCTTTGGTCCTTTTTTTTCCCCCTAAGGTCATTTCCGTTCCACCTCTTCAATCATTTTTTTTCATTTCCACAGCACTGAATTATGAATCTCAAGTCCTGGATAACTTCATATACTAAAAATATCTCTTCCTAATCTTTAACTCTTTAACACCTTTTTCCACTCATCCACCTTAATTCATGGCACCACATTTTCACAAATGCAGAACTGGACTTTTAGGGACTGCCCACATGAGTCAATGTGGCCCTACCTTGCTCTCATTTATTTCATGCTTCAATATGAACAAAATTGGGTTTCTGTTAATAGGCAGGGAGAAAACTCTGACTTCCCTTCAAGATTATTCCAGATCCTTCCTAACAAAGCCATACTGTTTGGTAACACAATATTATGGGGGCTGACTTTCCTGAGTAAGTTCAAAGCAGCCACTGAGGGATTACCTGAAGGACCCTTCTTAATTGCTCCTGGTGGATCAAATGGGCTCTTTTCCTTGACCTACCACAACCAGAGGATGAGAAGCACACAGTCAGTAAGCATAAAACTGGTCATCCCTTGGAGAGATATGTGCCTGCTGTGGATCTGGGGACACATCTGGTGGAAGTACGTTTGTTGCTGAGCAGCTTTCACAGAAATCAGAAGCCGTTACATACACACTGTCACATACACACAAGGGGAGGGGATGATTTTCCACTGGGGGTAGCAAGCCTTCATGTGTCCTCTTCTTCACTGGCACCACTACAAAGGAAAAGGAGAACCAGGTGAGTTAAGGTATCACAAGAAGGGAGGCAACCTAGTCTACTGGTTGATAGCACAGACTTTATGTCAGACATACCTGGATTTTAAGTCTTAACTACCATGATTGAGCAACATGGCCAAAGGCAAGTTACTTAGTTTCTCTAAATTCTGATTTATCTGGCCATAGGGGGATGATGATAAAACTTACTTTCTTGAGTTACTAGAGGATTAAATAAGAGAATACATACAAAATGCACAGTACCTGGTATATGGTTAAGTGAGCAGCTATTTAAAGGAGCAGGTGAGAGTCATCATTCTTTTAAACTTAACTGACAAAATAAATTGCTGGTAAAAATCAGGTGTGTGATTTCCTCTAAGCCTTAAGCCATTTATTGTTAGGAGAGAAAAAACAAGGAGAAGCTACTATCATCTGCACTCTCAATGGCATTTTGCACTTGGAAAAAATCCAAGATTTCAACTCATGCCATAGGGACATATGCCACCTCGTCAGAGAAGGTACTCTACTAAGTAGGACTCCCTGGTGATTCTCTCTTACTTCTCTCATAGGCCTTATCACATTACATAATTTGTTTGCGATTTACTCTTCTCTCTACCCATGACTAGAGCATACAAGAATAGCAATACTATTTATTAACTATGTATATCTAGCACTAGCACTGGACTAGGCACATGGAAGAGCTCAATAAATAATTGTTTTTAAAAAGGAAGTGAAATACAAACAACAGGAAGAAAGGGAGGGAGGGATGGACACAGTTGAAGGGACTGGTCAGTCATTACTGCCCTGGCCAGGTTATTCCAGATGTTAGTGATGTTTCAGTGACCAAAAATGAGTTGTCAAGCCCCAGAGGCATGGCTAGTACCTCAGCTGCTCAGAGTTACAGCACCTCTGGCTTGGACCTGGGAGAGAACACTGTTGGTACAGGGACAGGGGCAAGGAGAAGGCAGAGCCTGAAAAAGCAGGAATGAGCACACTCAGAAAGGCAAAAGTAGCAAACTTGCCTAGTTTCTCCCCATCCACTTCCATAGGTCACTGTCCTTAAAATAGTAACAAGAGCCAGCTTGATCAAGTGCTTACTGTGGACCGGGGCACTGAGTTATGTGTGTTACTCACCCATTCTTCCTATTATGTAGGGGCTATTATTATCCCTCGTTTTCCAGATGAAAAACGTGAAGCTCTGAGACATGTAAAATCCTAGGGTCACATAGTAAGGTCTGTGTCCTTAAAACTCAAGGTTTAGTTTCAGTTGGATAAAGTCTGAAGTGGTCAAGCTGGTAGAGAAAGAAAAGGCCTGTAGAACATCAGCTCCCAGCTATTACCTAGAAATTTTTCATCTCACAAGGGATTATCTATGTCTATATAAAAGCTGTGCTCCTTTGCATCCATTTGGGAAAGACCTTAAGGGAAAATATCCTAGGCAGCAGATTTCTAGACCTTCCACTAAAGGCAAAAACATTTCAAGAAACAGGTCCTGCAAGTTAAGGTAAGTGTATGCTAGGAGCCAAAAGAACCAACCCAGTAATCTTCACCATTCCAAAATCTGCCTTGTTTCCACTCCCCTTTCCTGCTGGTCATACAATCATGGGATGAAGGGTGCATGCCAGGAAGAGCTGGACAGTGGGCTGTCATTAAGGAGCAGTATTTAATGGCATCTGTCCCAAAGGGAACAAAGGGTCTTTTATGAAAGCTTCTCACCAGAATCAAGGCAGAGCTGGAACTGGCGCCATATTCTCCCCCTTGGTATTATATCCAAAGCAAGCTCTCATTGTTCTCTTGTCAGTTTTATTTCAAATATGAGGGCAGCATGGTGACTCTGCCCTAAGCTGCAGTTCACTTTTTAGCATTCTTGAGACACATAGTTTAAATGTTCATGGACCTAATGAAATTGTATACAGAATTTTATCTGTGTGTTCCTTTGTCTGAGAGAAGCCATACTTTTCATCATATTTTCAAAGAAGTCAACAACTCTTGCCAAATTGGGAATAACCAAATTATAAATAAACTCTTTTCCAGTTGCCAGGTTCTTTACTATAAGATTTGGAGAGTGGCTTGGGGAAAAGGTCTGAAGTCTGAACTGATAAAATCTTTTCTCATTAACTTAAAAAAGATCTGTTCTTGGGTCTGAAATTTATCTCACAGTTTAAAACATGAGATCTTAGGATACTGGCATATCATTTATTGATTACTTCATTTGCTAAATATTTGTTGACTGTCAACCATGTGTCAGTCATGATTCTGGGCACAATAATGAATAAGATGAACACAGGAGTTGCCCTCTAGGACTTTAAAGCCTAGTAGGTGAGATACAGGCTCAGGGGAGAGAGGGAGAACCTTTTTTTTCCCCCCCAGAACAGCATCTTTAAAGAAAGCATCTTATTTTTATAATAACCCACTTCTCACAATAATGAATAAGAAAAGGGATCATAACTGAATCTGTAACACAGAGCTTTGCTCAGCTTCTATGTCATCTCTCCTGGAGGGTTCAACAATATAATTAGTGTTAGGCATCATCTCCTCTCCTGAATGTTCTTCCTTCACTTTGTATATAAACTTTGTATATAAGCTAGTCTATGTTCATGAGATTATCTCATTTTATTTATTTATTTATTTTTATTTATTATTTTGATTTTGCTCTGTCACCCAGGCTGAAGTGCAGTGGTGTGATCTTGGCTCACTGTAATCTCCGCCTCTCGGGTTCAAGTGATTCTCCTGCCTCAGCCTCCTGAGTAGCTGGGATTACAGGTGCACGCCACCACACCCAGCTAATTTTTGTATTTTTAGTAGAGATGGGGTTTCACCATGTTGGCCTTCAACTCCTGACCTTGTGATCCACCTGCCCCAGTCTCCCGAGGTGCTGGGATTATAGGCATGAGCTACCATGCCTGACTGTTCATGAGATTTTTTATCTTAAATAGTCTATAAAAGTCTTCACTTTCTGCAAGGGAAGTAATAGAGCCTTCTACCTCAGCCACTTACCACGCTCCTCTGAAACACCTACCAGTCACATTTAGACTTACAGCCGGAATGGGACTCAGATGTTAATGGCTGTTTCACTTTTTTTTTTTTTTTTAAATAAACTAAGGGTGTTAGGCAGACAGCCCATTCTATAGCAGGTAATGCCAATGAGAGAGTCAGCATTACATAATTACTCTGATGTCACCAGACTGAACTAGGTTCAAATCCCTGTTATGAACTAATAAACGGTGGGATCTTAAGTCACTAACCTCTCTGAATCTCAGTTTCGTCGAAATGCTATCTTCCAGGGTTACTGTGAAAGCTTTATGTATTTTATGCAATACAAATGATAAAAAATGTTAACCTTCCTCAACCCACCTTCCTTCTTATCCTGAATAAAAACCTGCCTCCTCCTGCCTTTCCCTCCAATGTTCCTAGTTCTGGCAGCTGAAACATTACATTCCAGAACAAGTGTGTTCCTATCCCCAAATACCCTTCAAATATCTGGAGAGCAACAGTATCCTGCTTTGCTCACTTGGAGAGTTTTGTAAATGACAACCCAGACCTAATGAAATACAGGTATTAACTAGAAAGGCTGAGTATCACTCTGACCCTTCTAGGTGGCAGGTCTCGAGAAAAGTCATGCCTGCAAACACTGGGGAGAACAAATACGGAGTGAAGTTTAGTTAACCGGCCTTAGCTCAGTCACTGATCTAGTTTGAGGGTATTGCTGTATCTAAAAGTGGTGGCCTTAAAACTGGGGTACCAATACCCTTGTGGTATGTAATTACCTTCCAGGAAGTATTTGGGCCTGGGTAATTTTATGAAAATTAATGTCCAAATCCTTAACTTCCATATATACTGCTTCCTAAAACTTATCTCCTCAGAAACATGCCTGTGCTCTATAAGGTTCTTGTTTCAGCCACTCCCACTTTCCAGATCACCATAGTCCCACACTTCTGCAGAAATGCTACTCTCACCCTTCTGAATCTTAGCATGTAACAATTTTAGAATGTCTCCCTTAGAGGAGTCCTATGAGAGAATGGCAAGCAATAGTAAAGGAGACAATCTCTTTTTTCATTTAGGCAGGAAACTCTTGGCAAGGCTGTGTGTTTTATCTATCTATCCATCAATCTAACACTTCAAATTCAAAAGTGAGATGGTTATCATGAGGTGTGTGCTAATGTTTATTGGTATTGAAAAAAATGAAATCAGACTTAATCTGACAGAAAGCAAGTCTGATCTGGCTGGATGGTTTGACCAACAGAACTGGCTTTGCCAATTAGATTATATAGTGTACCTTGCTCGTAAATTTAATAAGCTAAATTAACAGTGCCAAAGTTTTGACAAAAATATATATAAAAACTCATATAAACTACACAATATGTCAGTGATCACACCCTTAGCAACTATTTACACTTGATATATGATTTCAGGAATTAATTTAAAAATGTGCAAAAAGGCACATACTTTTAAATTTTCTTTTAGGGGATGTAAAACAAAAATGTTTAGCTAAAGGAACTGGGAGCTCCTAAATTCTGACCAGGAGGATGGTGTGAAATTTAACACTTTCTTGGTTGTGGGTAGGGGTTGGGGTGACAGAATGAGACTAAGGCATCCCAGTCAGCAGAATGCTGTATCCCTTCTCTGAGCTGGGCTCACTGTCTGATGTGATGCCTGTGAAACTGAAATGTCAGAGGGCATGCCATAAGCCCCACGTTCAGACCCTAAACACCTGCTGATAAAATGATCATATTTTATCATAATCATTTTACAGTGTTTCACTGACAATTTTTTAGTTAGGCTGTATACATAGGCAGCTCAGCTTTTTGGCTTCTGTCCCCAGATTGTAGGGGTATAAAGGGGGAGTTAATAAATCAGGTAGCAGGCATTCTGACTTTGCAAGTTTAACAGTTTCTTTTCCTAAGTATATAGTACAACTTAATGTGACTTGGCATCACTCACGCCTTCTGAGTTCTTAGTTATTTATTAATTGATTATTGCTGTAAAAGGATTACTTAACTCAGGAGGATGGAGAAATTAAGAGTTATTGACAAGGGAGGAAGGCTAGATTCAGCTGAAATTCAAAAAGATAGATTTAATATTCTCCAAAAATTACACTGCCTGGGCATTGTACAAGGAGCTGATTGGGAAGTCTCATGCTTTCAGTATCTGAGGAAGTGGTTGCCTAGTTGCAGTAAATATGCGATCAGCACTGCTGGAGAGATGGACTACACAATCGGATCCAGGGACCTTTCTTTACTAGACAGAGCAGAGTTGCCTTCTTTGTCCCCTCTGTCCCACACTCACCTGCCCTAACAGCCTGAACTGAAAATAAGGTTACTGTGCTTTAAAGGATCTGAACTTTACAAAATAAAGTAAAACGTCCTTGGTCTATTTGGGGCTAACTGAGAAAAACATGATGAAAATACTAGAGTTCTAGTCCTGGTTCTGCTGTGTGACTCTAGGACCCAGTATCCTTATCTGGGAAATTAGGATGTCTTGCATTTTACGCAAAATTTAGGAAAACTCCAAACCAGACAAAAACTAATAAAGCTTCTCTCCAACATACAGACTTGCTGAGCTAATTAATTTGCTCTCATTTATACAACTGTCTCTCTTTGCTTCCTGTGCCACCCTCTATCCTATCTAATCTTGCTGCTGCTCACTCTTTGGGTCCACACCACCTTTAAGAGCTGTAATACTCGCCGCGAAGGTCTGCGGCTTCATTCTTGAAGTCAGCGAGACCATGAACCCACTGGAAGGAAGAAACTCTGGACACATCTGAACATATGAAGGAACAAACTCCGGACACACCACCTTTAAGAGCAGTAACACCACAAAGGTCCGCGGCTTCATTCTTGAAGTCAGTGATACCAAGAACCCACCGGAAGGAATAAATTCCGGACACAGTACTGCCTGATCATTACCTAGTGTAGACCCAAGAGTAAGCTCTGCCATGAGCAAAAGTCCCATGATTGTTTATTTCATCATGGACCTTAAAGTTTGACTTGGCTCTAGCCTCACTGCAATTCCTTCTCAGACCACAAGGGCAAGGGCTCTTCTCTCTCTAGTTTGCATTCTACTTTATCCCATGAGCCTTCTCTCTTTCAGTAATGGCCACTATTCACAGAGGGCTTACTTAATGTTCCACAAACTGTGCTAAGAAATCTATATACATAAACTCACCGATAGCTTCTGGTATGATCTCCATTCTACAGATGAGAAAAATGAGGCCCAGAGAGGCTGCAAGACCTGCTTAAGGTACATGACTTGCAATCAGACTCTAGAACCCCGAGAAATGAACTGACCTTGGGTAAGAGATGAGCCTGTCTTTTCTGATCCCTAGTTACCCAGATGATAAGTAGTGGCCATTTAAGTTTTCTGAGGCAAAATGTTTTCACCTGAAAAAATGGGATATTAACACCTACCATGAGGAGATGGAAGATACAAGCAAGTGCTTTTTTAAGATGAAAAAATGCCAGAGATGAGTAGGATTACTATAGAAGAAAAAGAAGAAATACAGACCTGAATTTGTCTCAGCCCTCACAGCTGACTCTGTCTCTCCACACCTATTTAGGGACCTCTGAGAGAGCCTTGCCTTGGGTCTCCCGCATGACCTCAGGCCCACACTCCTATACTTTACTTAAAGAGTGAGGAGTTATGTTCCCTCTCCTTGAGGGTGGAATATCTACACACATTATGTGAAATACTTTCCGAACATGAGTTTTGTTTCTTCTTCTTCATTTATTTATTTGATCATTTATATCAGTATGGACTCATGGATATTTATTTTATTCTTTGGGTTATAATCCAGTATTACTATTTTGTTGCTGAAACTGCTCAGCTTTGGCCTTTGAAAGCTCTGTTAGTTGGCTCCTATGTTCCACTGACATATCCCCATCAAAACGGGTTTTCTGTTTTTTGTTTATTTTTGAGCACTTCCCTACTTTCTAGCACTACAGAGCCTTCAGGCTTAGCTGTCTACTTCCTCCTTGGCACTGACCACAGTGCCAAGTCTGAATTGATCTCCATGCACTTTGCAGCCTATTTACTGTTTTTATAGGTGGCTACCTTTCTTGCACTTGGCAGGGCCTGTGTGGGGATGGCCTACTTCTATGGAAGATTAAAAGGAGCCAGCAGGCCTGCCCAGGCAGTGCCTTGCAACAGGGAGGTGACTGAACGGAAGTAACAGGCAGGCTTGTAGCGTGCCAGTGTCCCATCTGCTCTCAGAATTTCCTTCTTTAGTCCTTTACTGCTGCTGAATTTAGAGTAGAATCATTTACAGCTTTTTTTTTTTTTTTAATTCAAAGAGTAACTTTTGCTTTTTTGTTGCTTTTTACTTTCTGTAACAAACAAGTATTGGTTCCATAAAAAAGAAAAAAAATTCCATTATGTTACCACCAGGGATAATCACCATTATCACAGTGAAATATATTTCCCCATACACCTTCTATACATATATAAAAATAAATATCTTTTACAAAATCAGCTCATACTTGACAGCCTTCTTCACAGTCTGCTTTTTCCACTCAGCTATCAATCATGAATGTCATATCAAGAAATATATTTCTATAAGATTATGATCATGATTGATTTGTATGGATTTATCATACCTAATATTGGGCATTTAAATTATTTCTACCTTTTCACTATTATCCACATCTCTGTGACACACATCATTGTGGATGAATCATCCTTAGTTATTTCCAAAGAAAAATTCCCTGCAGTTTCCTTCTGGGTCAAAAGCCTTGTTTGCATTTGTTTTATAAGCTTTAATTTTTAGAACAGCTTTAGATTTACCAAAAAATTACAAAGATAGTACAAAGGATTCCCATACTTAGTCTCCCCTACTATGAACATCTTATATTTGCATGGTATATTCGTTGCCAATGAACTATGAAAGGAAAATAAATTTGGGGACCCCAAAATCACTAAGCCAAAGGGAAAAGTCAAGCTGGGAACCGTGGCAAACTTGTCCCCCATTTTGTTCCTAAATAAGATGGCTACAAAGATTAAAAAGCTACATACCTCCCTCACAAAGGACAGACAACACTCAAAGTCATCCCTCGGCTCACGTGAGACAAATGCATATCCAATTGCTTCCTTTGATTCAGTGGAAAGCTAATCAGAAACTCAAAAGAATGCAACCATTTGTCCTTTATCTACTTATGACCTGGAAGCCCCCCTCCCCACTTTGAGGTGTCCTGCCTTTCTGGACCACACCAATGTATATCTTACATATACTGATGGACATCTAATGTCTCCCTAAAATGTATAAAACCAAGCTGTGCCCCGACCACTTTGGGGACATGTCATCAGGACCTTCTGAGGCTGTGTCATGGGTGTGTCCTTAACCTTGGCAAAATAAACTTTTTAAATTGTCTGAGACCTGCCTCAGATATTTCAGGTTCACAGAACCAATACTGATACCTTCATACTAAAGTTCATATTTTGAGATTTCCTTAGTTTTTCCCTAAAGTCCTTTTTCTGCACCAGATTTCACTCAGTATACCACATTTCATCATTAAGTCTCCATAGGCTCCTCCTGGCTGTGATGGTTTCTTAGACTTTTCTTGTTTGTGATGGTGAGGACAGTTTTGAGGGGTGGTGATCAGGTATTTTGCAGAATGTCCCTCAATCGGAAGTTGTCTGATGTTTTTCTCACAATTAGGCCATAGTTATGGGCTTTTGGAACGAAAATTACAGAGGTAAAGTGCCATTATCATTACATCATATCAAGGGTTGATACTATCAATATGACAGCACTGTTGAAGGTGGCCTTGACCACCTGGCTGAGGTATTGCTTGTCAGGTTTTTCTATGGTATGGCTACTCTTTTTTCCCATTCCCACAGTGTATTCTCTGGAAGGAAGTCACTACGAGTCGCCTATACTTAAAGAGTGAGAAGTTATGTTCCCTCTCCTTGAGGGTGGAATATCTACATACATTATGTGAAATACTTTCGAACATGAGCTTTGTCTCTTCTTCATTTATTTATTTGATCATTTATATCAGTATGGACTCATGGATGTTTATTTTATTCTTTGGGTTATAATCCAATATTACTATTCTGTTGCTCAAACTGCTCAGCTTTGGCCTTTGAAAGCTCTGTTAGCTGGCTATGTTCCATTGACATATCCCCATCAATACCGGTTTTCTGTTTTTGAGCACTTCCCTACTTTCTAGCACTACAGAGCCTTCAGGCTTAGCTGTCTATTTCCTCCCCAGACCTAAAATCAGATATTCTCCAAAGGACACAAGAGATATGGTTTTAGAGGCATTTGATACTACCCTCCAGAAATCTTATGTTGATTTACAGTCATTACTCACATTGGCACAGGAATGCCCATTTTCCCCACACCCTTGCCAATAGCAGGGCAATTTCAAAGTGACTGCAGGGAGATGACCTGGCATGGGATACAGTGTGTGCATATATATGCATGCATGTGTCTATCTGTTCCATCTCTTTAAAATAACTTCTACGTTACTCAGTCTCCTGTTGAACTTCAAGAGAAAAATGCCCTGGGGCCAGGTTTTTCCTTTTCTTTGCCCTTACATTGACCTTCCCCAACCTCCCTTTCCTTCCCCCAGTGCTGCTGGATTTTCTATCACTGACGATCTCCTGTGATGAGGTCTGAAAGGAACCTTTCCTACACCCTCTATTAGGGCCCACGCAATTTCAAGGGGTGGAGAGTTAGAAGCAGAAATTAGCCCAAGGATTTGCCTTCCCTGCTTCCCGTACCTTCAGGAAATCCACCTGACCCAGTTTCCTCATCTTCTCTTGGCATGTGTATAATGGAAACCAAATCTCTCTCAAGCAGTTTCCTTCCATAGAAATCTTAAACATAAGATAAGATTTAGTAAAATGCTGGACTTCAAATTTCCTGTTGCCTCAGCTGCTGTATCTCACAAGTTACCAAAGAAAAAAAAGAGAAAGGATCAATAAATAAATATACTTGACACTGATTTCTAATCTCTGTCTGAATAGAGACTCACACCATGTTTGTGTGCATGCACATGAGTGTGTGTGAGAGTGAGCAAGCAAGGCAGATACACACACACACAGAGGCAAAGATACAAAACGTACAGGCACGCGCGCACACACACACAGAGAAAACAGTTCTCAGTAACTTTGGCAGTCCCATGATGATGACCTTCAATTGAAGTTGTAGGAAGTTGGAAGTATACCAATCCATAATGTCCTAGTGCTACTTTTCATAGGGCAGCAGGTTATGAATATGGACCTAGGAGTTCGAAACACCTGGGGTTGAATCACAGCTCTGCCACTTACTAGCTGTGAGATTTTGAGGTCGGTGATCATACTTGGAAATAGTGGACAATGTAGTACCTACCAGGGAGAGCTGCTGGAAGGATTAAATGAGATTAATGTATATGAAGTACTTGGTAGATATATAAAGAGCTTGACATAGTACCTATCACACAGTAAATGCTCAAAACATTTTGTAGTTATTTAATAACATCATGTGAAGAAACCAAGACTAAGAGAGACTAAAAGTCATACAATGAGTTGATGGTAGAGGGAGATCGACTGGAAGTCAGTTTCTGGCTCCTGAATACATCACCATACCTGTAACACCCATTTCCTCTAAAACTGCTGTCTATTAACAAAAAACTAGAAGAGTTAACACTGTTGTCACCTGTACACTCTAGGTACCATGCTGTCATTCCAATGGGCTAAGATTCCTTCTCAAGTTTGTTCTCTTAGTGTACAGGCCATTAAAAAAATAAAGACAGTAACAGCTATCATGAATAAGAACGCATTCTATGTGCCAAGCATGGTGCTCAAAACCTTAGCAGCACCGTCTCCCTATCCCACTAAGTCCAACAGCATGTCCTATTGACTCACCCTGCACGACCTCTCCCATGTGTGTCCATTCGTCTTCTCCACTGCTGCCACCATCTCCTGCTTGAACTACTGGAGTTGCTTCTTGACTAGTCTTCCTACTTCTAATCTTAACGCACTATTGCCTATTATTCAAACTGTATTCAGAGTAACAGTTCAAAAACGTGCAATAGATTATATCAGTGCCCCATTTAAAAATCCTTCAATAGCTTCCTATAACCCCTAGAACAAAGTTCATAGCACACAAATTCCTACATGCTTTGGCCCCTCTCTCCCTTTCAAGCTTGATTCATGCCACCTTCCAGCCATGCTGGCTTGCTTTCTGTTCCCCAAATAAGCTGATCTTGTTCATGCCTTAAGGCTTGTGCTTTGCTGGTCTGCCTTAGAGCTCTTACCCTCACATCTTGGAATGCAAGACTCATTAACATTCAGGTCTCAGCTCCAGTATCACCTTTTTAGATGCTGTCCTGGACCAGGAAATCTAGAGTAGCCACCCCATCCCTGTACTATTACACTATATTGCTGTATTGTCTTCATAGCACTGATCACTATCTACAATTATTTTGTGGTGGCAAAGGGCTTTAACTATTTTGTTCCCTGCCGTATCACCAGTACCTGGTAATGTGCTTGGCACTGGTGAAACCACAACAAATATTTTTGAGTGAATGAATGAGTAAATGATCAAAACAATCGTATAACACGTGACTGTTCAAGAAGCCTTCCCAGGCAAACCATGGGCCACTTGCTGGTCATGGAGACACTGCTTAGGAATCTCATGAACAGCTTACTTTGACAGGTAAACCCAACCTCCATTTCTTTTCTAATTGTCTCTGCAATGACCAGGCACACATAACCACTGGAGCTCTAGAATGAATTAAAATGCTATATCATAAACTGATTATTCTTACAAACAAATAAGCCTTACTGCAAGCCGTATGAGTAAAGGATGGTGTGGCCCATGGACAGGGAATGCTGTTGTCACTGCAACAGCAGTGACAAAGCAGAAGTAAGCTCATATCCAGTCCTCCCTAAACAAAGAAACCTGAAGAACAAATTCATCTCCATGAGGAAATGTTCTCATCTGGCTTCTCTATAAAACAGCTGTGAGTTTGCCAACTTCTAACTCTCCATAACCCAGCTGTGAGCTGTTCTCAAGGCAAGCTTGGATTCCAATACTTTATCCACCTCTTACCCTAACAGTCTATGAAGGGAGAGAGATGAGGATGATATCAAGTCAGCAACGCCAAGATAGAGGTGAGGGGATACTTAATTCATGGCTCCCTCTTTCCCTCAGATGAAATGTCAGCTGAGGCATGGATCCAGAAGTGGGAGAGCTAGGTTAGTTATTGTGGTGGTTGAGACTGATCATGGAAAAAGCACACAACTAAGTTTCGAGACCCCATTCTAGCAGGCATTAGCGGCACAACCTTGGGTGAGATGCCTCTTTAAAGTTTCCATATCTGTAAAAAGAGGATAATTATACATTATAAGCACTTACAATTAATAAATGGATGTTATTACTTGCTAGACACTGAACTAATCACTTCACCCAAATCTTCGCAATCAGTTTCCATAATCCTGTGTAATAGCATTAACACTCCATTTTACAGACAAAGAAAATGCAGAGTAGACAAAGGAAGTAACATCCCAAGGTCCCACAGCTAGGCAGCACTGAAATTACCAAGGACTGGCTCTTGTTTTTGGCCCTGGGCAATGACGAGGGAAGGTAGCATATGGGGGGGCTTGTGACATCAGCTGGCTGCATTTATTCAGCTTGGTTATTAGTAATGCTTCATTACTAGTAGCAGAGGAAGTAACTGGTACTTTGTTGCTAAAGATGTTCCAAGGCCTTGGCAGACTCAAACTCCAGTCTGGGCACTAATTACTTGAAAACTTTCTCCTTGTTACAGGGGATCCCAATAGTCTCTTAGTTTATTTATTTATTTTTGAGACAGAGTCTCACTCTGTTGCACAGCCTGGAATGCAATGGTGTAATCTTGGTTCACTGTAACCTCCACCTCTTGGGTTCAAGCGACTTTCCTGCCTCAGCCTCCTGAATAGCTGGGATTACAGGCACACACCACCATGCCAGGCTAATTTTTGTATTTTTAGTAGCAACGGGGTTTTACCATGTTGGCTAGGCTGGTCTCGAACTCCTGACCTCAGGTGATCCGCCTGCCCCGGCCTCCCAAAGTGCTGGGATAGTGTGAGCCACTGTGCCTGGCCCCAATAGTGTCTTTTTATTTGTTTGTTTTTTAAAAAAGAAGAAGCACAGCTAAATTTTTTTTTTTCTTTTCAGTTTTTACAACTGCAGCCGGTCATGACTTTCCTGTTGTAACCTGGCTGCAAAGTGGCCATTTCCCTCAGATTCTCGTCTTGGTTCTTGTGCGCTCCAGCAAACAGTCATGTAAAAGGGCAAAAGGGCCTGCCACCAAGACCTGTTCCCCAGAACTTACGATAGAATCTCGTTGGGTCAGATATTGGTTTCATTTTCAATCCTGCCTGTCCTGCAGTGAGAGGCACCAAGGTCTCACTCATTTAGTTAGGTTACATAGAAATATCTTTCAAGGTTTGAGTTGATTTTCACTACACCCTACTAAAGGATGAAATCTGAATTAAGTGAAGATGATGTCTCCTGTCTGCCATCAGGGAACCAGTGATACAGGTGGTCTGACACATCACTGCTCTGCCCTTGTAGCCTCCAGAGGTTCCGGGCTTCAGTGCACCTCAGCATCATTATATTTTAAAAGTCACTATTTGTCACTTGAGCTCTTTGGAGGCTGCATTTGTTTCTCATTCACTATTTTACCCCTAGTTTAGCAACATGCCTGGCACTGAAGACATTTGGCAGCTGGCATATGGCAGCTCTCATAACTTGCTTCGGCCTAGAAGGAGGGATTTCACCGGTGAGATAAAAGGCGGGGAAGGTAAACCTTCAAGGTTAAAACTACATCCAGCAGGAAAGCAGACCTTTCTCTATGAGCACTAAGATCTGTCTACTGGAAGAACTCCTAAAGGAGGTAGTATAATACGTTAGGATCATCCACTTTGGAATGAGACCAGGATTACTTACCATCCAAACCCTTCAGCTCTGAGCTGTGTAACTTTGGCAAAGCTATTTAACATCTTCTAGGCCTCAGTTTCCTCATCTGTGAATCTGTGAAATGGGGAGTCATTCCTTCATTTGTGCTTTCAGTGAAGAAGTATTTATTGAGTACCCCTCAGTATATAAGACATTCAAATAGGTAAAATAGCAGTGAAAAAGACTGACAAAGTCCTTGTTTTCATGGAGCTTAATTTCCAGTAAGTTGACAACAAACACATAAATAATTTCTGATAGTGGATATGAAGAAAATAAACCAGGATGCTGGAATAGAGAATGATGAGAGAGAGAGAGAGAGAGAGAGAGAGAGAGAGAGAGAGAGAGTGTGTGTGTGTGTGTGTGTGTGTGTGTAGGGGCAACTCAGGAAAGGGCAGTATCAGGATCCACCTCTTAAGAGTTGATATAAATATTAAATGAGATAATGGATATAATGTGTTCAGCCTATTGCCTAATGAGTACTCAACTAAAATCAACTGTTTTTGTATCACTCTCATCCTGAAGTCAGTGGCTATTCTTTCACCTCGCAGTGACTGAGCCCCAAATACATGCCAGTGATGGAACACAGTGGTGTATCAGATGTCTCTACCATTCAGGAGCTCACAGTATGGCAAAGAATGTAGCTATAAGCCATAAGAGAAGAAGTGCTAAATTCCACCTGCAGAGTCAGAGAAGACTTTATCACTGAGTGTTGACAGATGGATTGGTATTTTCTAGGAAGACAATGGGGCAAGGAGAGGGGTGTGCCAGGTGGAGGGAACAGCTTGAACAAACTTTGAAGATGTGAAACAGCTCGGCATGCTCAAGGAGCTGTGAAAAATTCAGAATGGCTAGAGATAAAATGTGCGAGGGTCCAGAGAGAGAACGTGTCTCA